TTCATTTGAATCTTTTTCTTCCACATCTTCGTTATCCACTAATTTAGCTTCTGTAACTCCAGTTTGGAAATTGTGTCGGACATGTAGCCCTTCAGGTATAAGTGTACCTAATGAATAATTAAAGAAAAGATTAATATGACAAGAACATAATTCAATGTTTTGCTATAAATAAATAATATTTTTTTGTAAATAAAATGCCGAATCTATTTGCACCTTTAAATAAAATTCTCTATACGTCACTGCTGTATATAATTTATAAGATATCGTATTTCAATGGATCGAATATATTTCAAAAAATAATAAATAAAAAATTGTTATAAAAATTTTTTTATTACAAACTTAGTGAGCTCGCATAGTAGTAAAAATGGTCCGAATATTAGATTCATTTTCTTGAAGAAATCGCGATGTCAAATTTGACTGACGTGGTCTAAGAGAAGTTGCATAAAAAAGTAGTCCCAAAAATACACGTAGCATACAATTGAATAAATGTTTCCTTACCTTTTTTTACAGTTTGCCATTCTCGAGTTGGCACAAATGTCGTTTCATTTTTTTCTCCGTTACCAAAAACTACTGGTAACAAAAGTAAACAAGTCAGTATAATCATATTGGCATGTATTCTCATCTTTTTCCTGTGATTGACCAAGGGCTACGACTTTTCTCAAGATACGACAATGACTTTTCATAAAATTATCGAAAATCTCTTGAAACTTTTTATTAATTGTACAATAGAAATTTGACGATTTTTCTACAACTTTCTTTCATCGCGCTTTTGTTCAATTTCAGTATTATTCACGTGTTGCGCCCGATATTTATGCAGTTAGTGTGTCAATGTTAGTTTCGTGTCCTTACCACTAGGCTTACGTAGACCAATGGTCGTTCAGTACGACGTTGCCAATTTTTTATTCAAATCGTATTACAATCATTAAACGTTTTCAAATGAACATTCAAGATTGGTGTACGCAACAGAAAAAAATATATATTCATAAATGTATGATGCCGAATTTTTTTATTTTTTTATTTTTTTTTCTTTATGGAGAAAGAATCAAAGTTTGCAACAACGTATTTGCATTTTTCACTGTTTTGAAGAGAACTTAATTTTTCACTAAAACATTAAAAAAGTCATTGATTAGATCTTCCATGGTTACATCAATTAAGAAACAGTATGTATTTGCATCTGCTGTTAGGAATAATTTATATATTTAATTTTTAGTTGTTTTGCGCGGTTCTCAAACTTGCCAGCTAAAAATAACGGTCAAACAAGCGAAAATTAAACAGTTACATTTCTGATTCGATTGATTTCTTTCACATTTCATATATAAATAATACCCCCTGGAAAATTTTTAAGTGTAGTTCGTAATGTTAGATGGCAACGCTGTTGACGGTAATTGAAAATGTATCGACCAATCAAAGAGAAGAACGTATTCTAGGCGCGTAAGGCTTAGTACGCGAAACTCATTTGCTACGCGTTCGTCTAGCACGTGCGACCACTGTTCTTTGCGCAGTGACCGTTGTGCGCGCGGCGTCTTTAGCTTCTCTACTCTCGTTCGGCACGCACACTCCAACGGAGTCTTAACACGAATCCTTTAATATTAAACCGATCATCATGGCGGAAGAATATCTTTATGGTAAATATCAGAAGTCATACTATTGTGAACATTGTGGCTTCTTTATTTTGTGGCGCACGCGATTACTTTCGTCAGCATCGGCCATACGACGCGGACGGTATTATGGTCGAGACGCCGGCTGGTTTTCGGCCATTGTGACGAGCCCCCATTGTCCCCTAAGAAGCTAACGAACTTGATTTTTTTTATCAAACTACAGTACAACGGCAAGCATTTACGATATTCCGTGTGCGTACTCTTGTGATTTCTGTGTCCAGGAATAACATTGGAAGGAGTCAATTCTAGCGAAGTATGGGATCCGGAACACAAGAACGACGATGCAGACGGCACGAACCAACATTTTGGTGCTGATCAGAAGTTGATCATAAAAATGGTAAGTAAAAAATATAGATGGAAACTCGTGATGGGAATTCGCGTTATGTTTTCTCGCTGTTTGGTACGTTGCATTACGTTTACTTTGCGTTGCATTACCCTTGCTTTGCATTGTGTTCCGTTCGGAGTAACGGATTTTTGTAAACGCGCGATTCTACACCGTAGAATAGCCTTTTTATTCAGTCTACGATGTATATCTTCCGCTTATTTTGACACGAAGTTCTTGAATTTCTATCAACGACTTCCTACATATTTCGTATATGTGTCTATTAACCGTGCAAAAATATATGACCAATATTCGGCGTCGCTAGTAATCCTGATTTTTCGAGCGCTTTCATCACCTCCCGATACGTTTGCGCGCGAATTTTTAATTACGATGCTTTCTCACCGTAGCCTTCATTCGTTATTTTCATTCCTAAAGATAACTTTCTTCTTGTTTCTGAACTTCCAAGAAACGAAAGCACGCTAATTCTGTGATGTTGATATTTGTTTGATCAATGTATATTATTCACGTATATTTCAATATGAAATTTGCTAATTTTAGATAACTTTCCAACGTTTGTAAACGTATACAGATTAGGAATGTTTGCCAAGTTTTTTTTTTATAGAAGTGTTCATAATTATACATAGTAATTACAACATATAATTGATCGAAGAATAGATATCTAATTTCTATATAAGTAGGATAATATCTTTAATAAAAATATATAATAGTTAAGCACAATTGTAATTCTTACTTTTATTGCTTTACACAAGTTTTGTTATTTTTTGTGTGTTATATATAGATACACACATATGTATAGATGTATACATACATGTATCTTGTGTATTTTATAGGCTCTTCTAGGTCCAGAGGCTAAACCTGGTGAACTGAATGTACTACAAGTCGAAGCAATGGGTTTAAAAGGACCCATTAAGGCACCAATTGCTTTACTGGAGATGGGGAAAACAGCACAGATTATTTTGGATCTCAGTTTTCCTGATCCTCCAGTCACATTTACTTTGGTTAAAGGAAGTGGTCCTGTTCACATAGTAGGACATAATTTACTTGGTAAGAATGAATATTATTTATTGCAATATATTGAATTTATAACAATTATTCAATTTATAACAATTACACATCAATTAAAAATTTAATGTGCTATTTATTCAATCATTTCTAATAGAGTGATTAACTATATCTATATATTTATGTTATATATATTTTTCTTAGAATACTTAATCATATTAAATTTAAATATATAGAGAAGGGCGATAATTGCAACTGGACGCCTTTCTACGAGTATGGTAGTGGCAATACAGTAAATTTAAATAGAATTTTGACTGTAAAAGTATTTGAACAAGATTTTAAAAAATTAAATTTAAGAAAATATGTATTTTAAATTTCTTTTATTTAAGTATAATTATTTTATAAGAATTTGACAAGGCTATCGTATCTGTTTTTTTGGGGGGGAGGGGGGAAGTGCAAATGAAATTAAAAGAGTTGAAATAAATAATCATATTAATTTGAATTTTTCAGGTACACACATGGAGGAGTTTGATGATATGGATGATGAGATGGAGGAGGAGAACATCGATGATGATGATGATGATGATAAGGTAAGTACATTTCTAGGTTAATTGTATGAATGTATATGTACATATTAAAAGTTATTTAAAAAATTATAACTAGAAGAAAGGTTGTATTAATAACTGACATTCTAACTAGGCTTGTATGAGATTTTGAGAATTGACATAAGGAAAATGCAGAATATTTTCGATTGAAGAATTAACGATCCTTGTTATGCTTTTATTATGTATATTAACAGAAGTGACAGTATTTCATTTTCTATATATTAGGAATACAAATTTCAGGCACCACAAAAGAGAAAGCATTCTGCAGAGGGTAAAAAAAATGGCACGAAGCGTGCTAAGGTGGATGAAGCTGTAGACAAATAGAATCCTAATATTAAAATGCTGCTATTCAATTCTCGAAAAAACAAGTTTATAATATATA